AAAAAAAAAAACACTAAGATTTGGGCTGTGTATAATAGTGATATGTTTCTATAATCCTAAGTTTACCATCAATTATTATGTAAAGAGGTTATCACAGTATACTAATTTCAGTTGTATCATTATTCTAAGTCTTTACACCCCTAAATATGTTCTGTAGATTTTGAGGTCAGAGTCCTACTCAGGTTAAAATGATGTTTTGTTTTTCAGTTACTTACACGCCAAGTCAATCATCCACAGAGACCTCAAGAGTAATAGTATCCTTCCTGAAACTGGTCTGCGAAGTCTGAAAGCATCCTGACTTTTTCTTCTGCATTTTGTCTTCATGTTATGTAAAAACAGTTTCATGCTAAGTGTAATATGCTACAAAGAAAATGAATTGATTTACATGAGAAATAATAGAGTAGGATTCAAGTCGATAACCTTTCTGTATGACTGGGCACTATAGGGAAAATCTATTATAGTAGAGCTTTTGTCTTGCATACATTTTATGTGCCTTATAAAGTGAATATTTTGTGGCTTTAATTCTCCTAATCTTGCTGAGTAGTAACTGAGATATGAAACTGAAGGTTCAAAAATATGTATCAGTGACATGAGGAAAACAATTTTTCTTTTTTTTCTGAGTCCAGACATATCTTTTCTGATATAATCCTTATTCCAATAAAGAACCTATGTAGCTTTCCCAGCAGTGTTAAAGGACATCTGGGCCAACTCAGATTAGAAAGTTTACAGGTTTCCCATAGACTTAGAAAATAGACTTAACCTTATGCTCACATGTTTCGAGCCTGAGAAATCTTAAAAGCGGGTCATAAAAGCTAAAGGGAACTAATTCTTTTTAAAGCATATTTGTTGACTTTAGTGGAAAATATGAATTACTATATTTTAAAAATAAAATCTTACTACAGAGGTATAGAAACTAGCTACTTTACCTGAAATCTTAGAACACTTTCTGTAGGTGGAAAATGAGATCTATTTTTTTCCTTTACTAACTACACCTCAGATATATTTCTTCATGAAGACCTCACGGTAAAAATAGGTGATTTTGGTCTAGCCACAGTGAAATCTCGATGGAGTGGGTCCCATCAGTTTGAACAGTTGTCTGGATCTATTTTGTGGATGGTAAGAATTAAGGCTGTTTCTCAGTTGATCATATTCTTTATGCTAAACAGTGACTAATTACTCAAAAGTCACTGAAGGTCTTAACTACAGTATTTTTACAGTTCCCACTATTCACAAGAATCAATATAGTAAACCAGGCATAAAGGCACATGCCTCTAATCCCAGCACTCAGAAGGCAGAGGCAGGTAGATTATCTGTGAGCTTGAGGCCAGTCTGGTCTACATACTTCCAGCACAACCAAAGCTACATAGTGAGACTTTGTATCCAATATTTATAATTTTTTATGTAAATAGTCTAACTTTTTTCTTGTCCTTAAAAAAACATTATTGCAAAACTAGTTTCAATATATGTCAGACAAAATACATATATGTTATAAAATGTTTAAATGTTATTGAAACTTGTTTAAAATGCTTCATTTGTTGGATTTGGTGGTGCATACCTTTAATCCCAGCACTCCGTAGGTAGAGGCAGGGTTAAGTGAGACCCTGTCTAAAAATAAAAATTTAAAAAAAAGAAAACAACTTTTATGTTCAAATGAGGTGTATAGCCTGCTTTTTATCTCTTTTTTAAAGGTTTGCAGTTTAAGGCATGTCTTAAGAGACCTATTCTTAACAGAGAGGCTGTTTCACACTTTTATTTGAGCCTAAATTGGAAATAGTCCTTCTTCACATTAGAAAGAACTTTATAATTATGGGGCAGTTGGAAGAGGAAAGACAAAAGAAAAAGACCGGGGATATTTTTAGTCAGCTTTGTACTGTCTGCACAGGTCTGTTTCTTCTTGTTTCTGCTTTGTAGAAAAGAGGTTCTAAACGTTGAGAACACAGTTACTACAGCAGGCTAGCAGGCAGTTGAAGAGTCCTTTCAAGGACTACTACTGTGAACCCGCAGTGATTCCTCATGACCTGTCAGAAGGTCCTTACGGCCTTTTCTAGTTTTTCTCCTGCCCTTCAGTCAGAATGACACGCTGCAGCTGATGGAATGTAGATGCACATACAAGGTTCCAACCAGCTGCTGTTAAGCCAAACCCTAGGCTTGTCACTAAATTTTGTTTTTTAAAACATAGTTAGTTTTCATTAAAAGTAGGTATTCTCTGCTAATATCTAGCCATTTATATATGGTTAAATATTTAATATTTAAATGAAATAATGTAATAGTTGAGTTTTAATATCTTAAGTATTCATAAAGGTAGTCTGTACAGACAAATGCTCTGTAGGATCTTTGATAATATTTGAATAAAAGCAATCCTGAGTCCAAAGAATTTTGAAATACCAACTCTAAGTGGGATACAGATGTTTTAGATGTCTTTGTAGTTTTAGTCCTTAATTGATTAATCTAAATAATTCTGCCCCAAGACTTTTGGGTCACCTTATTAGAAACAGAAAAATCAAAGGACTTTCAAAGCCGTAATTTCCTAATTTCCCAGAATAGTATGTAGCAGTCTCCAAGAAGCAGATTCTCCTAAGTAGTGGTCTAAGTTTGCCAAGGTAAGCCTAGAGTTAGGTTGAGTATGCTTTCTTGGATCAGTAATATAGATCGCAGAAGTGGCAAAGTGCAATAGATGTGAGAGCTGTGCTCTGGCCATTAACTTTGAAGTTTCCTAACCTCCCATGTGCCTCTTCAATCTGAAATGTCAGGTCTGACTAGTCCATGGCAAGACCCTTTCTTAGATTCCATATTACAGTTAGCTAGGTTTCATTTTGAAATTCTTTGATACGTGTTTAACTGTTTTAGTTTATTAGAAGAGACTGTATGATGGTTGTGCTCTGTCCTTCAGGCACCTTTAAGGCACATACATGTAACAGTGGTAGCAGTATGCCCCAAGGCGATGGGGGAGGGCATTTTTGCTTCTGAAACTATAGAAGCGGAAGTTTAAAGCTGCAGCAGGGTGTTTATTTCAACAGTAGTATAGGAGTTGGTCTAGGTCTGGTCTCTAGGTTTGCTCCTTTTAAAAGCCTTAGTTTATATAGTTAGTAGAATATTATACAAGATGTTTATATTTAATACTGATTACTTTTTTGTTTATACCCTGAATCAATGAGTTCATCTTTTATTCTACCATGCTAAATTTTAAGAGAACAAGAATAGCCAAAAATGCACTTCATTGTTAAGTTAACCTTTCCAATTGGTGCCTGCCTTCAGGAAAAAATAGCTGGAGAGATTGCTCACTCATTATGAGCTCTGGCTGTTCTTTCAGAGAACTTAGATTTAATTCCCAGAGCCCACTTGGCAACTCTCATCTGTCTGTAAGCTCCAGTTCCAGGGCATTTGATGCCTTCTTCTGACCTCCACAGTGCGCAAACATAAGCAGGCAAAACACCCATATACCAAAACACTAAAATAAATAGGCTGGGTGTAGTGGCATATACCTTTAATCCCAAAGGCAGAGGCAAGTAAATCTCTGTGAGTTCCAGGATAGCTAGAGCTACATAGTGAAACCCCGTCTCAGTTAGATAGATAGATAGANGAGAGAGAGAGAGAGAGAGAGAGAGAGAGAGAGAGAGAGATAATTTGGGGGTATGGAATATCCACAGCCTGAAATAATAGTTTGGTTATAAACCTTGTTATATAACCTTGAATTAATTACAGTAGTCTTTTCTACTTTTATTTATATCTTAGAAGAAAGAAATTTATAGGAAAATGTTTATAAATTAAAAAATTGAAGATATGTCACACATTTCTTCTAAACAGATGGCATGCAACTTGTCATCAAGCCATCTACTGGCAGTGAAAGCACACTAAATTTTAAAAGACGGTTCTCCAACTGATCTAAACTCTGTCCATTTCCCCCCCAGAAAAATGATTTGTTGATCACACTTCTCTGTGGTTTGTTTTATACCATATTACTAAAATAGCAACTGTCAACAAAATACATAACAAAAACAAACAGAGAAAACGTTCTCTTCTACTGTTGTCCTTTGACTCTTTGGGTCTCCCCATAAATCTTCATCAGTGTTTCTTAACATTGGGTGGACAGCATACTCAGGTGGAAATTTGAAGCATAGTAAAGCATGGGTCCCACTTGTAGGCTCTGATGTTCTCTGTTACTCAAGTGTAGTCAGCACTGAGCAGGCTGCACAGGAAGTTCTGACCTGCTGCTGTAGTTGAGTACTGCAGTTCCTCAGGAGATACTGCCACTGCCAGGACCTTTGTCCTCCAGCTGTTTTTGCAGTTTCATTAGTACCATTTGCCACTTCTTCAGTTCCTTTCTAACAAAACAGTATAAGAGATGCAAGGTGAAGGAAGAAGCTTACTAGTTCTTTACCTGTCATTTACCTGTCATTTATATTTCATATAAATATAAAACTGAGTCGTACAGTAGAGTGACTAAATTATGTTAAAATTTGGTAAATATGATTTGGTATTTGTTCTAGAAGCAACAACTAAAATTTCTTTATACAATTTTCTAATAAGTCAACCTGTTGTGTGTTACTGTTGTTAGTAAAGTGTTTTCAGGGGTGGCTTTTGTTTGTTTAGTTTTTGTTTTTTGAGGTTTTTGGTTTTGTTTTGTTTTGTTCTTCTTAGGACAGGGCTTCTCTGTATAACAGCCCTGTCTGTCCTGGAACTCACTCTGTAGACCAGACTGATCTCCAGTTCACAGTGATCTGCCTACCTTTGCCTCCCAAGTGCTGGGATTAAAGGCGTGCTCCACCACAGCCCAGCCAGTAAAGCATTTTTTTATTTCACACATTTATGATGTAACTTGGAAGGACATTAATTACTTGTGCCTACTCCCAAGCTTTTTATAAGTACAAATCTAGTATTTCTTTTCTATTCATGAACAGGAAGTAGAGACTAACTGACAGGATAGTCATGAGACGTGCTTAGATGGCAGTGACGGTTTATTCAGAAAGAGGATTGCTGGTAAAATTATAAAATCTCAGTAATGTATCATGGAAATTCAGCTCAAACCACCTTTCAAAACATATAAAGTGGGGTTTTCCCCCCTTTTTTTAGTTGATTTTATTCCTTTGACCATTAATAGGAGAATACATAGTTGATGATTTCTTTAACTAAGGTGTTGCTCTCTGGGAATTATCATAGTTTGTATTTCAGTCTTTATTCAGCTGAACTTAAGGATAAACTAGAACTTCTCTTCCTTATCTAACAGGCACCAGAAGTAATCAGAATGCAAGATAAAAACCCATATAGCTTTCAGTCAGATGTGTATGCATTTGGAATTGTTCTGTATGAACTAATGACTGGCCAGCTACCTTATTCGAACATCAACAACAGGGATCAGGTAAATATTTATCATCTCTGGGGGTTATTTTAGTGTTTCTATTAAGGTTTCAGTTCTTTGTAGGAAGGAAATCTGGAGATGGACGTAAACATGAATGATAGAGCTCTCGATCTCTGTAATCAGCTGTAGGAAATGTTTATGTGCTTTTCACAGTTGTAAGGCTTTACTTGAAATGTTGGCCATAAATGTAACAATGGAGTGAAACCCCCAATTTTGCAACTAGAAATTAGAATTATAACAATAGAGATAATACCTGTTTCTTGGTAATAGCAGAGCTAAAAGAATGAACTCTGGAGCCTGTTGTGATATATGCATTTTTAACCCCAGCACTCAGGTGGCAGAGTTGGACAGATCTCTCTGCGAGGCCAGGCTGGTCTAGAGTTCCAGACCAGCCCGGCCTTTTTTTTTTTTTTTTCGAAAGAAAGAGAGAGAGAGAGAGAGAGAGAGAGAGAGAGAGAGAGAGAGAGAGAGAGAGAGAGAAAGAGGACTATAAAGATGGCTCAGTGATTGAGAACACAGTTTCTCTTCCAGAGGACCTGGGTTCAATTCCCAGCACCCTATGGTAGCTCACAACTGTCTGTAACTCCAGTTCCCTGAGATTTGACACTTTCACAGCAATGTATATAAAGGAAAGTTAAAAGAAATTTAAAAAGAAGTAAAGAATGAACTTGCTATAATCACAGGTATACTTTTATCCTTTGATTGTATCACAGGTTGTGATGTCAGCAAGGGCTCAGCTATGAACATATTTATATCCAATTCTTCCATAATTATTAAAATGTTGTTTAAAACATACAAAAAAGCACAAGGAACTTGGGAAATGGCTCATTGGAAGTTTTTGCCGTATAAGCAGAAGGGATTGGGTTCAGATGTCCAGAAACATAAAAAATTAGCTGTGGCCATTCCTATCCCTTCAGCACTGGAGGGAGGAGACAAGTGGAACCCAAAAGCCTGATTTCAAGCCTCTAGTTGAAACATTAGTTCCATGTTCACTCTGTCAGAAAGAAAGAGAGAGAGAGAGAGAGAGAGAGAGAGAGAGAGAGAGAGAGAGANGTGCACAGTGGGATAAGACAACATTTGAGCTACAGTGTCGGTGCTTCCGTCACTAAGAGGTTTTCTGCCAAATTTGTGGTCTGTATTTGATTGAATGCACAGTGTGATGCTGTTTCTGAAACGACATGGAAGTAAAGCACAGAAGTTGAGAAAATTTAATGGACCATGCACATAACAATCATAACAATGTACACCAAATGATATTATAATTTCTTTAAAAGCACGATATGTAGAAATGAATGCATACTATCTGATGAGGGCCATGCTACGAGAGAAAAGAATCAGCTATCAATTGCCATAAAAAATTCAAAGTATAAATAGGACCGTGACAATTATGGAATATCACCAATTCTTCCCGAGTGTCAGAGACTTTTATAATTGCTATTCTCTGATTTGTTCCATTTCAAAGATCCAGCATTCATATCTCACATTTTTTTGTACTATGCATTCATTATCCCCTTCTAATACTGGAGATATTGTATAAAGACTACTAGAACAGTCTAATCTCTTTTTTCCCCACTTGACTACCCAAGTATGTCACTACAATGCTAGCACTGTGGGTAACTTCCGTGCCCACTTTTACCATGACTGAATTTCTTTAGTAGGTGAAGAAATATCCTTTATCTACAATGCATTTGTGGAAGAAAAAAAAAAAAGCTCTCAAGAGCATAGCAGTTAGAGCGAAGGCCCACACAGTGTGACTTGCTGTGTTTTTTTGATGGCTTTTGCAAAAGTAACACTGTATCTCATAGTATTCCAGGTGATCCTGCTCTAAACCAGGTACACACAGTTACTAGTTATCCTGACAAGTATATCAATTACTTATTTTTTACCCTCTTACAGATGAGCTTTCTTTTTACAGCTTTCCCATACATGGAAGTGTCACTAGTGCATGTTAGTGTTTATGTTTTCATGAGGATGCATATAATACTCTTTTATTAGGGAATATGGCCTCTAAAAGGATCTGTTGTGATTTTCTATGCTTCACACAAAAGTTCTCCTTCAAAGGTGATAATAGGGGAGAGACAGGTGAGAAAGCAGGGCAGAAAAGTGGTTAGAGGGATGCATAACTAGTTCTAAGAGTATTGGAAAAAGTCATACAGAATCTACTATTTATAAGCTACACATACACACACTCACGTGCACACATGAATTTCATTGGAGTTACCTCATACACCATATTATGTTTTTAAAGGTTGCATAATAAAAAATGAAATTGCCAGGTGTGGGGTACCTTCCTTCTAGTTGTTCATCAACTTATTAATTTGTTTTTTTTTTTGTTCATTTATATAGGTGAACCCAAAACATTGTGAGCATTAGGATAATGCTCATAATCATTTGACCTAGGTTATAGGACTTGAAATCTTAATCTTCTTGCCTCCATCTCTAAAATATTGGGAGTTACAGTTTGTGCCATTGATTCCAGTTTACCATCTCCAAAAAGTGAATGAATTATCTTTACTAAAATTAAAGTATCTCAACATTTTTTAAAGTATGTGTGAATGTATATGTGAAGAAGAGTAATGGCAGTTGAATTGTTCATTAGAAGATAGTTACCCATATAAGCAATGATTAAGAGTATTTATGCTGTATGCTATGGTTTGCATCATACTCACATAAAAGACTGCTTTAAAATGGTGATTCTAGGGACTGAAGAGATGATTCAGTAGTGTCCTACTGCTCTTGCAGAGAATTTGAGTTCCGTTCTCAGCAAAAACATGGTGGCTCACAACCCACTCAAGAGGATATGACACCCTCTTCTGGCCTTCATGGGCAGTTGTATACACACGCTCATACTCCCACACAGATACACTGTCTGTACAGTAATTTAACATAAAAAAAAAAACTTTACATTTTAAGGCCAGGCAGTGGTGGCACACGCCTTTAATCCCAGCACTCTGGAGGCAGACACAGGCGGATCTCTGTGAGTTTGAGGCTAGCCTGGACTACAAGAACTAGTTCCAGGACAGGCTCCAAAGCTACAGAGAAACTCTGTCTTGAAAAAAAAAAAATCTTTACATTTTAATAGAGATTCTAGGGCAGATTGTGTTTCAGTGGGATACAGTCCAAGCACATATACTTTTTTATGCTTCTGGAATAATTCTGATGCATACAAAAGATGACAATTACTACAAATTGTAAAAGTAAGTAAATGTGTCGGGCGTTAGGCTGGAGAGATAGCTCAGAGGTTAAGAGCATGGGCTCTTCTTCCAGGGGTCCTGAGTTCAATTCCCAGCAACTACCACAACCATCTAAAATGAGATCTGGTGCCCTCTTTTGGTATTCAGGCATACATGCAGACAGAACACTACATATAATAAATAGATCTTTAAAAAGAAAAGTAAGCAAATGTAGAGTACTTGTGTACATCATGAGTCCCAATCAAATGATAGACTTTATGTGTGTATCCCTTCATTGAAGAGATTTTTTAATTATTTTGTTATTGTGTGTATGTATGACATGTATATAGTGTACATATGGAGGACAGCTTTGTAGCATTGGTTCTTTTCCCTTCCACCTTTAGAGAGGGTCTAGAGATCAAGTGCAGGTTACTAGGCTTGTGTGCCAAGAGCTTTCCTCACTAAGCTGTGTCTCTGGCCCAGTATATCAGAGCTAACTTCTGGTCTTTTTGTTGATAATCTGACTTTTAAACTTCAACTGTGATATGGTATGAAAGAAATATGTTCTCATGGTAAAAGGATACTTATCTTTTTGAGAACTATCTATTGGTTTTCAAAAAAACTGTACTGCTTTGCATTCCTGGACCCCACAAGAGGTTCTAGGTTGTCCCATCAGCCACCACTTATTATTTTTCTTTGTAGATATATCAGTAGTGTGGCTTTAGTTTTTCACTTCCATAGAGACTAATAAAATTGAATGACCTTTTATGTTTCTTTGTTACATACATATACATTTTATTGTATTTTTATATAAAGATATATCTGCTCAAATATTTGATTTTAAAAATTGTTTTTCAAATGCAAGTGTATTCTAAGTTATCCTGCACTTTATGTAATGATTTTTTAAGGGCTCACAGGTTCAGAGATTTCAATCTGCTGTTTATGTCTTAATTGGTTCTTGGCCTATAGTAAAATGAAACATTATGACATCAAGAGCATGTTGAGGAAGAAATTGTCACCTCAGCAGACAAGAATACTGAATCTCTGTATGACATTTACCCAACAAGGATTTTGGTTGAAATATATGTAGGTAGGCAGGCAGGCAGGCAGTTAGGTTGGTAGGTTTTTTTTTTAATGTGTTATAAAGTAATAGCAAAGAATGTCAATTTCAGTATAACTTGACTAAAATTTAAAGATACTCATCTGGGCAGAGATGGTGCATGCCTTTAATCCCAACACTCAGGAGGCAGAGACAGGCGGATCTCTGATTAGGAGGATAGCCAGGACTACACAGAGAAGCTCTGTGTCAAAAAACAAACAAAACTTTAAATACACTTGAAATGTATCCAGTAATATCTAAAAACTTGCCCTGTTTAATGCTCTACATTGGCATGGTTCCTCTTTTTCTCTTCAAGCTATGTGTAGTATTCTCTAACCCCTCCCTCATGGAATTCTGTCCTGATTTAGCATACTGTTATGCTTTTAAGACTTTTTTATTGTGCATTATATCAGCAAGAAATAATATGAATGTAAGTTTAAATTTGGAATTCTAAAAATTTTTCTTATGACTTTAAGCTCTCAGGTGGGTTATTTTTAAATGCTGAGTTCTGACATTGCTATCATTTTAATGTATAACAGTTAAATTTTATCGTATAAAAGGTAAAAAATTTTATTGAAAGTATATAGTTTTGGCTTTTTATTTGTTTCATTTTAGAAATAGGGTCTGGCTGTGTAGCCTAGCCTGCTCTTGCACTCTTGACCCTCTTGCCTCTTCTCTCCAGTACTGGGATTACAAGCATGCCTCACCTACTTAACAGAAATGCCTATCATGGGGGTGGGGGTGGGAGCCAAAGGCAATCTTGGGTATCATTCTTCAGATTCTGTTCACTGTGTGTGTTGAGACAGGATCTCTTCCAGCAAATTAAGCTAGACTGACTGGCCAGTGAATGCCATGGATCCACCTGTCTCTACATTCACATCAGGAATTAAAAGTGCATGCCACCATGGTCAGCCTTTTTATGTGGCTACTGAAGCACTTTGCCAACTGAGCTGCCTCCCCATCTTCAGAAGTATGAGTCTTAATACCATGGTATTTTTCATTTTTCTCTTCAATTTATGTAATACATGGATGAATATAACTTTTTTGATAGAGTTAGGGTTTAGTATTAATCTTTTCCTTGTTTTCTCTTCAAAGATGTGAGTACTGAGTATTACTCAAGTAAGAAGTAGATGGGGCAGATAGATGTTTTGTCACAGCCATATGCAGAGTTTAGTGGTCTCCAAGACAAAAAGGGACTGAACTCAAAGTTCACTGGGGGCTCTTATACTCACAGTTCTGATTTGGCACAATGAAAAGAAGATAGATTAAAATCAACCAAAGGACGAACTCCGTGGAGCGGAGTCCAAGGAAGTTTCCCATGTGGAGCTATGCACGTACTAAATTCTCCCAGCAGGAATGTGTGACAATAACATGGAGTATTGCCAACCGGGAAAGGTCTCTATACCTTTTCATTAAGGATTAGTCTCATAGATATGGTTGGCTTTTTAAGGCTGACCTTAGTCTCTAGCTCCTAAAGAAGTCAGATTAATGCTATATAACCTCAAACTCCTCTATATACTATATTGATGATATCCCAGGGGTCATCCGAGATACCACACAGAACATCCTGAGTGAAGGCTTAGTGGTGGTCTCCTAGGAACCAAAGAAAAAGTTCCAGCTCTCTCTCTGGGCAGGAATATTCCTTTACAGCATACTATGTCACTCTGGTTTTTTGTTGTTGTTGTTGTTTTTAAATATTTATTTATTATGTATACAATATTCTGTCTGTGTGTATGTTTGCAGGCCAGAACAGGACACCAGACCCCATTACAGATGGTTGTGAGCCACCATGTGGTTGCTGGGAATTGAACTCAGGACCTTTGGAAGAGCAGACAATGCTCTTAACCACTGAGCCATTTCTCCAGCCCCTATGTCACTCTGTTACTTGAACTCATTCCTGTGGTATACCAAAAATTACATTGTAATTTGTCATTAAAATTATTTTAATGATCATCTGAAAATTTAGTTAACTTTCTTGAAAGCAAAGAATTGAAAACCAAGAAACTTTGAAAGGAATTTCTTATAGTTCATTGGAGCCTAGATAGATGATTGCATTTGGGAATGTCTTTTTGATGTCCCATAATTTTTATAGCCTGGAATGATATTTACTAGAATCCATATTGATAAAATGTAAAGACCGTCTGTAAAATAGAGATTACATGCAACAGGAAAAATTCTTTACACATACACCTAAGTGGTTCTCTGGCAAATCAGTTTTAAAATTTATTTTATTGCTGTGTACCCACACATATGCAAGTTCCTATAGAAGCCAGAAGGAGGGCATTGAGTTCCCTGGAGCCAGAGTCACAGGTATTTGTGTGCTCACAGGATGTGGGTGCTCGGGTCTGAACTTAGGTCCTCTGCAAGAGCAGCAAGTATTCTTAACCACTGAGCCATTTCTCCAGTCCCTAGATTTAAAAAAATAAACTAAAATAAAAGTATATTTGTGATAGACACAGCCCCTGTTTACCAAGGACCACAGGTCTCATTATAGAATGTAGATAAGACATATTCACAACATTTAATAATCAGATTAAGTACTAAATGATCATTACAGTTGTTGGTAGTGAGGAGAACATTATCATTTCTAGATGTCGAAATCTAGGGAAAAAAAGACATGAGGCGCACAGTTAGAGTTCAGTTACGTAGGCCTTGGTTTATTTAGATTTCAGGTGGCTGAAGAGAGCAGGAAAGCATTGCAGGAGAAAAGGCACTGAGACCATGAAAATGTGAGCAGCAGATCTGTATTTGGATGGTCTTCTCCCAGTTCTTTGCTGTCACTGTCTTAGCTGTATTTTCTCAGCAAGTCCCTTGATTTGTTTTTTAAGCATTGTATTCTAATCTAGAACGTGGGATCAATTCCTACACCTTGTGGAATTCTTTTAGTACAAAAATAGGTAAGAGTCCAAGAGTCTGAAGTTTCTCAGCCTTTCAGGCTTTTCATACCTTTCCTCCCTTTCCAAGAATAGCTCAGTAAGCATATTGAACTGCTGTCCTGTGTGGATAGTAGTCCATACTCTTCTCCTCCCTTCTGAAGGCCTCCTCTAGGTGTTTACATGTTCTTGGTTATCCCCTATTACCTACTGCTAACTTATACCACAGGGGCTACACTAAGTTAAAGCCTTTTTTACTGTAGGTTCATAAATGGAAGTCAAACAGGAAATAAATAACAGATATGCCCATTTCTAAAATTCTTCAGCCCTGTTTAGAATGGAGTTATCCTACTTTCTTTTTTAAATTTTCATTGCTGATATATTTGTTTATTAATGAGAGTGTATGATTTTCCTATTCCCTTCAGATAATTTTTATGGTGGGACGAGGCTATCTATCTCCAGATCTCAGTAAGGTACGGAGTAACTGTCCAAAAGCCATGAAGAGATTAATGGCAGAGTGCCTCAAAAAGAAAAGAGACGAGAGACCACTCTTTCCCCAAGTAAGAAAATTTTTATGATATCCCAGAGTACCAACTAACCTTCCTAAGTCGATGTTTAGCAGGATGCGGGGGAGTGAGTTAGATTATGAGTTGATACTCTGCACATCCAGGTGAGCTAACAGGGCAGTGACTTTATGAAGGTTGAACAGTTTGGGATCCTAATACAAGTTCTTTAGCAGGACTTTGCATTTGCTCAGCAGTTCTCAGACTGTTAAGACTTATTTTGTGTGTGGGTGTTTTGCTTGCATGTGTATGTGTGCACCACTTGTGTTCCTGCTGCCCACTGAGACTTGAAGAAAGTCAGATCCCCTGGAACTGGAGCTGGAGCTGCAGCAGCCGTGAGCTGTCGTGTGGTTCTGAGAACTGATCCATCTCTCCAGCCCTAGTTCTCAAATGTTTTAATTTTGGAATCCTTTCACATATTTTAAATAGTTAAAGACCTTTAAAGGGCTTTTGTTTATGAAAATAACAATTATGAGTTTATAAACAATGAAAAACAGAGTGGTATTGGTTTCATTTTTTCCCCAACTGTTTTTGTACAATTAACACACTTGGAGTCTTTATTTTGTACTCATTTTGTGCTTCAGTGTCTAATACTATGCTGCCTCTGACAATTTACTGATAAAAAAATTCTACTTATACATTTGGCTTTATGGTAAAATAAATAGATTCTAAGTTTTCTGTTCTTGGTAGATTTTTCTGATTTTTTTAATTTTTTATTTATGTATTTATTATTTGGGGTTTATATATTTAGATTTGCATAGTGTTTTATTACATAATATTAATTTTACTATTTTTATATTATATTCTTATTATAATTATATACTCTAATGGGTTCTTACTTCATGATACCCCAGGGTATCATGACCTGGTACTCACTATGGAGTCTGGGGTGGCCTGAAACTCACAGATATCCACCTGCCTCTGCCTCAAGGAGTGCTGGGATTAAAAGGTGTGCACTACCACACCTAACTTAGATCTTTTTTTTCTTTAAGGTGTGTGTGTGTGTGTGTGTGTGAGAGAGAGAGAGAGAGAGAGAGAGAGAGAGAGAGAGAGAGAGAGAGAGAGAGAGAGAGAGACAGACAGACAGACAGACAGACACGTCTGTGGGAGTCCAGGGAGGACAGACGAAGGTATTGGATCCCACAAGAGCCAGAGTTTAAGGTTTGTAATTAGTTTTAAATTTTTGCCAAGCATTTCAAGGATGGCAAATGATCTAAAATACAAGCAAACACTAACTATGAGTGACTTTACTCATTCAGTTATATGTGTATAGAAAACCTGGGTTACTGTACTAGCTTTTGACTTTTGTGATTATGGGAAAAATCCCAGTTTCTCTTTGTTCACTGATTATACTGAAAACAATAAAAAGTCTCTGGAAAAATCTCATCCTAAGTATGATAAGCTCTTAAAGATTTATACTACTCAAATTTTTATTGTTTTTTTCTTGTTTCTTGTCCTCTGTTTGTTCCCTCCTCTACCCCTTCCTTCTTTCTTACAGATTCTCGCCTCTATTGAGCTGCTGGCCCGCTCATTGCCAAAAATTCACCGCAGTGCATCAGAACCCTCCTTGAATCGGGCTGGTTTCCAAACAGAAGATTTTAGTCTGTATGCTTGTGCTTCTCCTAAAACACCCATCCAAGCAGGGGGATATGGTGCGTTTCCAGTCCACTGACACAAACTAAATGAGTGAGATATTAAAGTAAGGTAGCAACAAAAACAAATGAATAATTTTCCTTATATTTAAATTAACTAGGATACTCTGTTGTTTACAGGTGAGCCAAAGAATGTTTGTGTTTAAAAACTTAGGAATTGTTTTCCAAATCTTAAAATCATACTGAACATTGACTTTTCAACAACATTGGGTTAAAATATACAAACACTGCTAAACATTTTCAGTGCTTCTTCCAGAGGCTTTACTTCCTATTCTGAATTTGTTTTGTTCACTTGGTTATTCCTCTCGGTTTCTCCCTCTGTTTGCTCATGCAGCTTTTGTTATTATCACTTGTCATAGAACATGCAGAGGAAGACTTCCCTTATGTTCACAGGTGGAAAGTATACAGGCGGCTAGCCTCTGCCAGCTGTGCAAAAGTGTGGGAGTTCTTTATTTCCTTGAAGCAATAGATAATTTCTTTTAATAAATTTTAGATGTGAGTGACCAAAAATATCTGTCAGTGGCACATTTGACATATGTAACATGACTTAACTTTGGATTTTTACTAGACAATACAAATTCAGGATCTTTTTAGATGGTATCTATATGTTAAAGATGTCTTATGTGTGTAAAAGTCAAAGTTCTTTGCAAATGCCTTGCCCTTTATTCTCACTCCCTCCCCCAAAAGAAACTTCACAAAATTCTGAGACTCTTTAAGGTGCTTGTTTTTAGGTAATTGGTTGCCAAACAACCAAAAAATGGGTTTTTTAAATTATTATATTAGGTTATGCTTACCTTTTGATGTATGTTACAGCAGTCAGCAGTCATGTAGCATTGTGTCTCATAACTTCCTTCCTGCTATCCTTTGTGCAACAAGATCCCACCTTTGATAAATGCCTTATACTCTCTTCTTGATTTCCAGTGTGATGTACTTCTAATGTTTACATTTTTATGTATAGAAAATGAGTATAATGTATCCATGGTGGAATAATAATTTTCCGGTGATTTGGAGAGAGAATCTAAAAGCAAAAAAGTAGAAGAAGCATGTGGTTTTTAGAAGTAAAAATCCACCATCCTTCATAGTCCCCTACCTTCATAGTCCCCTACCGACCAAAGCCTGTTGATATTCAGTTATTCAGTTTATACTTGTGGTAACTCTTAAATACAACCCAAAGCAAAAACAATTATTCAACAGACAGATCATATTTTCATATATTATCCTCCTTTGAAAACAGTGAAATAGCTAATTGGGAAAGCTTTACTAATTGGGTTTGTAAGTGCCACAGATAAACTTCTGAAATGCTTTCCTTACTTACATTATTGTATTTCATATAAGGAAACTGCCTATTATTGTGACTCGTCTTTTGTCCTTCCTTTGGATAAGTTGAGAATGCCATCATAATTTTATATACTGATTCATGATTCTAAATATAAAAAAGAACATTTCTCATATTAAAAAAAGAAAAAGCCAGTGCATGGAATCAGGAGGATCACAACTTCAAGGCAGGCCTGGGCTCCATAAAAAGGCCTGTGTCAGAAAACCTAGGACTGGGGATATAGCTCAGTGGTAATGACTTTGTAGAATGTGAAAGTGCTTGTACAGTGTTTAATCACCAGCATGGGAAAAGAAAATGAGAAAAAAAGAGATCAAACAATGGAATATATTAGAAACCATCGAAATCATGATTTCTAAATCATGACATAAAGATGAGTTCAATTGCTTAGTTTTTATACATTTAAGTGTCAGTGCACCCACTTTAAATGCCAAATCTCTATTAATCTTACGGAGGTGGTATTTGGGGTTTGGGTTTGTACAATACAGATTAAGTTGGTTTTGATTGTTGTATATAGCTAAAAAAAAGTTTTTACAAAATTTAGTTAGTCCATAGAATACTCAAACATTTTGAGCATATGAAACAGTATATCGAAGGTTTTTTTTAATGGATCTCTTTCTATAATCTGCCAGCATACCTGTTTTGCTAGTTCCTTTCCTCACCCACTGTCTTTCTCCTCAGCACTGCCCAGGACTCTACATCTTCATCTGACTTGCTCCCACTCAATCCTTTCCTCCCTTCTTGTTTTCCTCTTCTTTTCTCCTTTCTTTAGTAGCAGCACTGGCTCTCCTAAGCTCTCTCAAGCTGCTCAGAAACTCATATGCTACCCATAGACACCCAGTCATTCCCGCACAGGGTACATAAGAATTGAGTCCCCTTCCACATTTGGCTGCAGAGTGGCCAAAAGGGAAGAATATCAAATATGATAGGTAAGATGTGTAGGTAACATCTACAGGAATAGGAAGCACTAGAATAACAGTTTCCCTTTGTGTGTTTTGTTTTGTTTTCGTTAGTGGTGCTATATATTCTGTTCTAGGCCTTTTTTAATTTTAATTTTTAAGTTGTGTGATTTTGGGCAAGTTTCCTGACCACTCTGAACCCCAACTTGTCCACCTGTTAAGCAGATTCCTTGTACAGCCCAGGCTGACCTGGAACTCTGAATTTTCTTACCACTACCTGTCAAGTGCTGGGATTACAAGCATGATCCACTAGGTGTAGCTTCCTTCTTTGGCCTTTTGGCTCAACAGTGCCTTGGTTAGTTACTCATTAAAAAGAATATTTGATGGAAAGAATGTCTATAGTCCAGTTCGTTGTATTTAAAATAGGAAACCAAACCTTAATTATTAAAACTTGTTTAGAGAGCTGAGAAAAATGGTGGTCCTGTAATCCCAGCATGAGGAAGAGAATGGCAAGATCAAGACCACCTTGCTAATCTTCTAAACATGTAAAGCATAAGGTTTAGTCCGCCAGTCACTAGCAATAATTATTTAGAGCCAGGCAAGGAAGTACATACCTGCAATCCCAGTACTGAGGAGGCGAGGCAGGAAGATCCTGTCTGCCAGTGCTGTGAGGTTGAGGTTTGTCCTGCAGCATGACACCCAGCTGTGGAACTGCCTGCAGCTTGTTACTGTCTGGATCCAGTTGGGCTCTTCTTTACATGCCATGCACATGCACTTGTATTCTTTTCTGGAGTCCAGTGACTTGGGGTTTAAACTAGTGACTGTGCTACAAGGTTTGTAATATCAGTGAAATTGAATTGAGGCTTTTCTGTCTTGAAGTTCTTTTGAGATAACTTTTTAAAATCAGCTCTTGTCCTCCCTCTACAGGAGAATTTGCAGCCTTCAAGTAGCCACTCCATCATGGCAGCATCTGCTCTTTATTTCTTAAGTCTTGTGTTCACACAATTTGTTAACATCAAAACACAGTTCTGTTCCTCAAATCTTTTTTTTTTAAAGATACAAAATTTTCAATGCATAAGCTCGTGTGGAACAGAATGGAATTTCCTATTCAACAAAAGAGGGAAGAATGTTTTAGGAACCAGAATTCTCTGCTGCCTGTGTTTCTTCTTCAACACAAAGATCACGTGCATACAAGTCTGCCCATTCCCAGGAAGAAAGAGGAGAGACCCTGAATTCTGCCCTTTTGGTGGTCAGGCATGATGGAAAGAATTTGCTGCTGCAGCTTGGGAAATTTGCTATGGAAAGTCTGCCAGTCAACTTTGCCCTTCTAACCACCAGATCAGTTTGTGCCTGGATATCTGATGGGGCAGTTTCCAACACCAAGCATCATTCTTGCCTATTCTGGGATTATGTTGTGGAGCGCTTTCCCTATCCACCACCGTTAATTTCTGAGGGATGGAGTAAATGCAGCATACCCTTCAGTCTTCAACAGAGGTTATCACGGTGAAGCTCTTTAAATTAGTGGAGGGTTTGAGGTGAGGAGGGACTGCTCTGGGGACCGAGAAAAGGGGATGCTGCATCTTCCTCACCTCCTGCTCTCTCACCTTGGGTTGCCTTGCTCCCTGGGCTTTGCCTAACCACTCGGGCTGGACAGTGCTGGCACACATTGCCTTCTTTTCTCATTGGGTCCAGCAATGGAGGTGAGGGTTGGGGGATTGTTTCCTCCACAATGTAGCAAATTCTCAGGAAAATACAGTCCATATCTTCCTCTCAGTTCTTCCAGTCACCAAATACTTACATGGCTACCTTGTCCAGAGCACAAAATGCCATGGACAGCATCTAATTAAAAGCCTACAAAACTGCTTACTGACAGTTTTGAATGTGAGAAATTAGTGTAATTTAAGTGTAAGGTACAGATTTTAATTTCTGAGTTTCTTCTATTTTTATTTTAAAAAAATAATTTTCAGGTTTAATTGGATTAAAAGAATACTTCCCACCAGAATATATATCCTGAAAATTATATTTTTGTTAATTGTAAGCAACTTTTAAAGAATGACTATTATCCTTTTCTTTACCCAAAATTATGGGGAGTCTTAGCATAATGACAGTTATTTATACTTTTTAAATTAATGGTACTTGCTGGATCCACACTAACATCTTTGCTAGCAATCCCATTGTTTATTCCAACTTAACGCCTACACTACATCCTACATCCTCTTTCTAGTCTTTTATCTATAATATGCAACCTAAAATAAAAATGGTGGTGTCTCCATTCATTCTCCTTCTTCCTTTTTTCCCCAAGCCTGGTCTTCAAAAGGTTGGGTAACTTAGAAGCTGAGTTCCCTAGACAGAAATAGAACTGTTAGGGACATTGGAGTTAAAGGAAGGTGTGAGGCCTGTCATCAATTGTTTATATAGAACCCTAAATCTGAACTTTGCACAGATCAAAATTATAACCTAGTTACAACTTCCCTTGGCCTTTATTTAAGGGTAATTTAAGAAAATCACTAGTAGCAAAGAAAGTGACTAGATGTATTAATGGCCTGTACCTTTCTTATCCAGGAATCTTGAATTTAGAAATGCAAATTAAAAGAGATGTACTTAGCAACTACACTATAGCCAAGAACTTAAAAAAAAAAAAACCTATAGAATCTAAAATAAAATGGAGTTTTAAATTATTTTCAAATTATAACCGATCCCACTATATATTTAAGCGTCCTCAAAACAGATGATTTTTTTTGCGAAAATATCTGTAATTGAAGGAAGGCCTATCGAAAATTTTATGAATCCCCCATAAACTGGAAAATATTCTGAACTTATTAATCAGCAGCAATGCATTTTTAAGTCTTTCATGGGCAGGAGAGTATCTTAAAAACCTTAGAAACTGAGATGAAAATGATTCCTACGGATATGAAAAATAGCCTCTGCATATGCTATGCCACATTTGAAAGACATTGTCACCCTTTTAAATGTTTCTTAGCATGGCTTTGTTGCCTTTGCCCAGGATTAGCTAGAAAGAGCTAGGCTTTGGCCATTGATGCACATTTAGGTCCTGCTGAGGAGTTGGAGCCTCCTTGGTGCATGGCCACCTCCTTACTGGAAAAGGGGACCAGCACCCTTAAGGAGGGAGCTTAGCATGTGAGTGTCTAGACACAATGCGAAGAGTTTCTTCTTCCTTTCATTTTAGTGTAGGTTGCTATCTCACTTGAAAAGGGAAAGTAACATTGATAGTAAATGAAGCTGTGCCCAGAAGCCAGGCTCAGGGTATTGAGAGATTTTTTTTTTAAATAGAGAATATAAAAAGTAGAAATAAATATTTAAACCTTCCTTATTTTCTATCAAATAGTTTTCTTGTTTACAAACAACATGAAAAAGGTTTCCTTTGTGTTTTTTTTTCTTTATTTTTTTATGCTTAGACTGCAGATAATCTTGTTGAGCTCCTAAGAAAAGACAAGGAAGTCCTTGTTTGTGCAGAGCACTTTATGAGTAATTGTATAGACAGAATATGGCTGCTTTTCTCATCTTATAAGGCTGTAGCTGTAGGTCCAGAAGTGGTTGTGGTGCCTCCTGAGATCTTTTTTGTTTGGGTTAGGAGTGGAGTCTTGGAAAAGTTTGAGAACAACTATGTAAAATTGTTTTTAAGTATGTAGTATTCCTGATGGACTTTTCACCATTAAGCTACAGGACCCAAACTTTTGCCACTGAGATATTATTAACCTTGAAATGTAGTTTAGAGAAGGAACTTGTGAATAGTATATCCAGTGTGATCCTTTATACTTATATGCATCTTCAACTAAGATTGTATAACTCAGATTCTGGTTCCTGAACAGCCCATCTCTTAAGTATACATGAGGTCTGGGAAGGCGTAATGAGGCATCCTAAAAGATGATCCGATATAAACTGTATGCTAGATTTTTGCTGGTACGGGAGAAAGCATTATGTAAAGATGTAATTCAGGACTTGAGCACTGTCCACGAGAAACCTTGTAAATACTTCCTTGGTCTTGGTGCAGTCCCACTTTTTTATCATGTGATGTCTTGTACTTGTCAGGCACTGTCAGAGCTGCTGTTTGTCCTCTTCAGATCTCACCCGTCCCCATCACACATCCACCTCCCGGCCTCTTGCAAACCTCAGCATCTAGCTTTAGTTGGAAATGCAGTGCAGGGATCAGGTGACCTCTTCAAAAAACTACCTCCTCAGAATGAGGTAATGAATAGTTATTTATTTTAAAGTATGAAAAGTCAGGAGCTCTAGAACATGAAGATGATACAAGATTTTAACGTTTATGTGTACTTGTAGTTGAGTACTTGTTTTGTCCTAAAGGGCATTATACATTTAAGCAGTGATACTGTTTAAAATTTTCTTTAAAGGTGTAGCTGAGAGTATCTACTGTTGGAATTGGTACCAGAGTCTGCTTAATGTATTTCAGAATCTTAACCTTAAATCAGTCGCATGAAGTTAAATAGTTACAGTAACACTTTGCTAACAATGATAAAATTCTACTTTTCAGTAGTAGATTTGGCAAAACAGTACACCTTCATAGTAAGTTGGCCACAGCTTTGTCACACACAGAGATGTTCATCTAAAGAGACTGCCCAGCTAAGAGGGTAGAAGGATACCCTTTTTATAAGATTCTCTTCTTTGTCCAAGCTGGCACTGTCAGTCTGTAATACCCGCACCTTGACCAGCAGGTGTCAACCAATAAGCTACTTTTAAAACCATAGCCAGAGATGGAAAGTTCACTGTGAGTAGAAACAGCAGGTAGCTTACAGAAGTGAGACAGTGTAGGGAAGCTCTAGAAAAATACCTTGACAATTTGCCAAATGATCTTACTGTGCCTTCATGATGCAATAAAAAAGCTAACATTTTAGCAGAAATCAGTGAGTTATGAAGAGAACAGCCAGTCTGGTTTAACTCAGCTGTGTTAATATTTTTTAGAGTGCAATTTAGACTGCGAAGATAAATGCACTAAAGAGTTTATAGCCAAAATCACCTTTAAAAAATGAGAAAATGGTAAATTTTCAATGAACAAAATTATTTTTTTAAAGCGCATATTCCCTAGTATAGCCAGAAATATTTACCACATAGAGCAAATAGGTTGAAAATACAGTTCAGTGACATTTCTAGAGAAACTTTTTCTACTCTCATAGGCTCTTCAAAGCATGGAACTTTTATACACGTTTGACATTTTAAGATACTGCTGTAGTTTAGTTTTGAAGTAGTTTGTGCTGGGCAGCAATCATGTACTAACTCAGTAAGAAAAACACATTGTAGGTCTGATTTGTTTCCAAAGAAATGCTGCCAACCTAGACACCGAGTGTTCAAAGCTTGAAGTGTGAATTTACCTACCAAGACCTGTTTGCAAACGAAGTTGGCTAGTGCTGCTGACTGCTCTAGTGCATGGTGGAAGACAGGGCTGTCTCTGCGAGTGTCTTTTGTAAAGGGACATTGGAATAGTCAAAGACTTGGCTAGTGCAGTGCATGTAAACTGGACACTCCATGCTGTGGTCTTTGCATCCTCTCTCCTTACTATCCCCAATGTGTCCTTTAGCTGTTTCACTCAGATTCCAAGATGAGTTACTGATGCCGGAAGGGACTGAAGTGGTCAGTGTGTTTGTGGTCCATGTTGCTAACTCTGGTATAGTTGAAGATGCTGGCCAGATGTTTGTTACATCAGTACACCAGACAATAACTTAAATACTTTCAGATAACTTATTTCTACTTCCATTTGGGCAGAGACATTTAAATTGAAATTCAGGCCTAATTTTTGTCATTTGAGAGGAAAAATTAACAGTTCCTCCTATGAGGTATTTTTGAGGTAGAACCTGAAGTCCTAATCTGTCTTTCCCCACTGGGGTTTGCAGCAAGGATTCTACCACTGAACCACATTTCCTAGTATGTAAAATGTTAACAGTTAAAAATCTCTAAAATCTCTCTCTCTCCTTCTCCCCCTCTCTCTCCCTCCCCTTGTCCCCCTCTCTCTCTTAGGGACACCTAGCTATCACCTTATTAAATTAATAAAGGTGGATCCTTTATTTCAGTCTTCACAACTCCGTGTCCCTTATTACTCCATCTGTGTAACTAAACTGTTTACTTTTATTTAGCTGTTTTGAATAGTTGCAGTGATATAACCAGTTGTGCATGAGGACAACAGCCAGTGTGTTGTTTTTGTGGTGCATTTTTTGTAAAGAATTCTGTAGATTGAAGTGCTCTTTGAAAACAGAACTGAAATATTTATTCTTGTTAGTATCGAAAAATGTTTTGTGCACATCATTTGCTTTTCCTGGCAGGCTGAGTACATTCTCCAGCACCCATGATTGCTGGTTCCCATCTACAGTGTACACAGGGAGACAGGCGGGAAGCACATGGAAGAGTGTGTTTACAGAGCTGGGATGGGGATTATGAGTGAGTTACTTAGTCCTATTTTTGCCTTGAAAATCACTGTTCTAAGACTTTTGAACCCATGTGTGTTTGGCTGGGCTGAGTTACATAGGAAGAAACTGCAGGCTAACATAGCCAAACAAAGCTCACGGACTAGGCACAAATGGAAGGAAATGGACCAAAATATGGTAGGGTGACACTTAAAATCTGGGACTTAGGGAAAAACTCAAGGTGGGAGATGAACTATAGTCACCTGAAATACTATGTAAGAGTGCAATAAGTGTGCTTCTTATTCTAAGCTGTGAACTTTTAAAATCATTCCTTTTTAATACATTTAACGTATGTTCCATTGCTGACTAGAACCAGCTATGTGAACATATACCTTTTTAGTCATGTTAATTACCAACATAAGTGGCTAACCTTGATGTCTTATTTATCTTCATGTTGTATTAGTTTACATACCAGGTATATGTGTGTATGCTGTACTTTTCCTCCCTTTATTTGAAATACTTTGGGTCATTTCCTTTGGCCATGCCACAATACAGTGTTGGTTTGGCTTCGTCACCTTTATTTGAAGGACTGTGTCCCAGTAGCAGAGTTTATGGTATTCCCATTGTTGGGTGTACTTCTGATCCTTTGCTTCTCCAGCACCTGCCTCTCCTAAGGTAGTCACACAACTAACTGATCAGGGGACGGACTTCACCATTCATCCTGTCTCTCGGATTCTATTAAATAGACCACTCTCTGGCTATAGACCAGGAAAGAGGAGACAACCCTAGCCATCTACCAAGCCTCACCCTAAATGGTTGTATGTACTTCTTGGTCTGAGGACAAGTCTCCAATAAGGGAGAGGGAAGGCAAATGCTTCATGTTTGAACTACAGTGAGTTACAGCTCCCTGTTTCACCACCAAAACCTATGGCAATCTGCACCCATTCCTCCTGTCTGTAACTGCCAGAGGTTTGGGTTTGTGTCACTTCAGTTCCACTCAAGCATTGGAAAGGTTTTCTGGAGTCTGGGGTGTGCCCAGGGAAAAGGCGGGGACTTTTTCATTATCCACAGACCTCTCTATACCTGCTTTGCAAAAATTATAATGGAGTAACTATTTTTAAAGCTTATTTTTCAATTCATAAGAAAAAGACGTTTATTTTCAATCAAATGAATGATGTCTCCCTATTACCCCTTATTCCTCAATGTCTGCTTGATTTTTTTTCTTCTCTATACCTACTTCCTATTACTTTAGTTCTTTTCCTGCTCAGGTCCCTTCATTTGTACTTTGGAGTTTTCTCATGTAAATTTGTATAATGGAAAATATTGTTCAGTTTGGATAGAAAGCATGGAGAATTAAATAAAAAAGATAGCTGAAAATCAAATTGAAGAAATTTATTTCTGTGTAAAGTTATTTAAAAACTCTGTATTATAAAAAGGCCAAACAAAGTGCTATGTAATTGATGTGAATATGCGAATACTGCTGTAATAAAGATTGACTGCATGGAGAATCTAACATTATTTTTCTAGCACTGACATCTAATAGTAGTCACTGGCTACTGACAGTCCAGGCTAAAATGCACATTTTGTTTCAAAATGTTGATCACTTCTTGATGGGTAGAAGTTAAAGTTGGCCAGATGCCTACATGGTCTAGCCAACTTATAATTGTCTTTTTATCAAGTTTTGGTGATGGCCCTCCCAGACAGTGTTGTGTGACCTGCTTCTCTGGCTTAAAGTAACAGTTCTCTGTGTAACTACATACTTGAAAGTAGAACTTAAGAGCTGGGTGGTGGTGGCGCACACCTTTAATCCTAGCACTTGGGAGGCAGAGACAGGCAGATCTCTATGAATTTGAGGTCAGCCTGGTCTACAGAATGAGTTCCAGGACAGCCAGGGCTGTTACAGAGAAACCCTGTCTCGAAAAGCCAAAACACAAAAACCTTTGTGATACAACAGTTACACAAACACATCTGAAACTGAACTTGTGTGTTCAGTGCTGGTTCCCAGATGAATCTCCTTTATTTTGAAGAATACCTGAGATATCTTCAGACAAAACACATCAAACACTAGAAGGTTTCCAGAAGAAAAAAAAAGATAACTTTAAAACGCCACACCTAGAAACCCTCCAAGAACAGTCTAAAAGGACAAAAAAAAAATTGCCAGAAGAGTGCAGGCTTTAAGGGCTGCTTCTGACCTTCCCACCGCTCTTGTTTACGAAGACATAGCTATCTACCAGGCTTCACCCTAAAATTTACTTTGGAATACACCTTTGGCATGCATTGAAGCCAGTAAGAGCTGATAAACTTGCTTGGGTTTTTTTTGTTGTTGTTGTTGTTCTTTGGTTTTGGGTGTTTTGTTTTGTAAAAGAGTTGTTCTTGAAGAGGAATGGACCACATTTGGGGAAAGTTTACAGATTAGTCTCTCTATGTGGTGCTTCCCTGTGAAAATCAGACCAGGATTCCAGGGTGGCCATAAGCCTAGTTTAGATAAAATATTCTAAAAATACTCACTGCAAACAGTAGATAGCTACTTCTGTTTAGAGCAGCAGTTCTTAACCTGGGGCCAAATGACCCTTTTATATAGAAGGTACCTAAGATCGTCAGAAAATACAGATATTTACATTATATTTGTAACAGTAGCAAAATCACAATGATAAAGTGAAACACATTAGTAAAAACTCAGAGAGAAATTGGGTTTCAACCTGAAGAGCAATGTTCCTGGCTCTTACCTCTACCTTAGTCCAAATGATGATCCTGCCATGAACCTGGTCTCCTCCCAGTTTTATAATCCTCTCTAGGGCCGGGATTAAACATGTGTATCCCCTGGTTTCTATGGCAACTAGTATGGCTACTGAGATTAAAGGTGTGTGTTACCACTGCCTGGTCTGTCAGGCTGACCAGTGTGGCTGTTTTACTTTCCCGATCCCCGGGTAAGCTTTATTTATTAAAATACAATTGAAATGCTACTACAATGAAGTAGCAACAAAAATAATGTCAAGGGTCACAGCATTAGGAGAGCTGAGAACCACTATAGAGACCTATGCTTCGTGCTAAGCATAAGTCTAAGCTACTTTACAAATAGAGAAATTAAGACACAAAATGAAAAAAAGTACTTTGCCCACACTCGGTCAGTACAGGACAAGACTTAGGATCAGATCTGGCCAGTTTAACTCTAGAGCTTGGGGTGCTTTATCTCTGAAACTGTACATCACAACCCACAAGTGGGTAGTAAAATCAGTTTGGGATGTCTCCACTGGCTGTGGATTTTTTTTTGTTTGTTTGATTTTTCAAGACAGGGTTTCTCTGTGTAGCCCTGGCTGTCCTGGAACTCACTCGGTAGACCAGACTGGCCTCAAACTCAACAGAGATCTGCCTGCTTTTGCCTCCTGAGTACTGGGATTAAAGGCGTCCACCACCAAACGTGGATCCACTAGCCATGTTTTAAGTCCACACACTAGAATAAACAGGAAGCACTGTTTGGGAACTTTGAGTCGTATAGAAACTAAGATTTGACCTAAAAAAAAAAAAACCTGACTACAGCCAAGACCTCAGTTCTGGCTTGGCAAATTTCCAACCCATCTACCCGTAACTCGACTTCATCTTATGAGACAAATAATACTGTGGAGAGTTAATGAGATAACACATGCTCCTAACAGTGTCTGGCCTGGGCTGCAATTTGCTGTGAATTTCTGTTACCATCAAACAAATGCTATACTTAATGTTTCTGTGGGACCCTCTTCCATCTAAATATTTCCTCAGGTATATACAGCCATGTAGAAGGCATTTCTTTGAGCAGGTTGGGGAGTTTTTGACATCTGGCTTGCATCAGTTTTCCAACCCAAACATGGAAATGAGGATTCCAACATTCTTCTAAACAAAAGAATGTATTTAAAATTACCTATTAAGCAATTCCTTGCTTCTAAGGAAAAGAACTAGGGATTAGCCTGCTTAAACTCACTGTTGTAGACTATGTTCTTAGTGTCTTTACCGACATAAGGAGACTGGAAAAGCACAGCCACCCTCACAGACGTGAAGCGCCCCCAGTGCCACAGTGGGGTTACTGTGGCTGTCAGAAAAGCACAACTGCTCTAGTTGTTTCAGCTTCTGCTGCTACTGTGACCTCTGGAAACTGAAGAAAAGGTAGAAAATTCTATGTTATAGGAAACCCTATTGTATTCCATCTTGAAGCCTGCCAACAAGTTGGTCAGGATACTTGATGTCAAACACAACCGGCAACTGTTAACATCTAGTCCCATCCTCTCCTTACTCGTTCACAGCCACGTGAAGCTGTTTCTCACACAGAACTTGGTCTTCACCTAGAGCAGGAGTCACCATGTTCCTAAACACACTTCCTATAAACCCTGCTTACTCAGAGCACAGCCAGACCCCTTAGTACATCATCCAGTAGGCTTCTTTCACAGCTCTGAGCAAATCTCATGAGTACTGACTTATCTACCACCTCTCTCTCCTCTCTAAAGTTCTCTAAAAACAGTTCTTTTGTCTGTGTGACTTTGAGGAAGCTCTCAGTCTGTATCCCAGGCTGTCTCCAACTTAGACTCCTCTGGCCTCACTCTCCACAATGCTAACTCCCTAACCCCCACCTCTAATCAATCGGCACTGTACTCCCAAGGCCAAGGTGGTCAAAAACTTACTGAGTAGTTAAGTCTTCAAACTATGTTCCACCAGACTTTTCTTTGTGGATGGAAGAAAACACATCTCCTTATAACTGTTGTTAGGCCATAGAAGGTGGAATACCCTGGAACATTTGGGGAAAAATAAAAAACCCTTACCCCCAGTCCTAAGAAATTCCTAGTCAGGCATGGCTTGAGTCCTGCAGGAGATAGGGAAACTGGACTCTGCTGATGCCTAACCTCGGGCAACAATCAAGCTGCGGCAGCTCTAGGTCATATCACCTGTCCACACTTGCAACTAAGGCATGAGCTGAGGAGGAGGCGTGGTACCTAAGTTATGCATAAGCTGGGGTCAGACATAAGGTAACCACTCAACAGTGTGTGATGCTAAGCAAAAAACTATCTCCTTGTTCCTTAATAACCCCAAAGAAAGGACACCTATATCACAGGCTACTCAAGAGGATTGGCTGAAAGGGTACAAACCACTTAGCCCAGCAGGCAGTCAGAGAATAGAATAAAGGATAGCTGTCACCAGAAACATAACTCAGTTCCTCATTCTTGGCAAACCACTTTAATTTACAACTTTAAATATGAAGGCTGTAATTTCTTGAAACTTCTCACCTTGCTCCTGTAGGGAAAGAAAAGTAGGTAAGTTTTAAGAACTATTATATTTACTAATCCAAATTCATAATCTTATTTGTCTAATCATTCAAGCATTTCTTTTTAGCACTGACTGAACAGCCTTTCAAGAAAGAAAGCAAAATTACCCTTTCTAGTCTAGTTGTTAAGGTGTTAATTCCATCTTCCCACTTGAACAGTAAAAGCAGGGCACACTTATACAGCTACATACCATAAACTCTAACCACTATATTCCAGGAAACAGAACAGAACTGGTTTCTTTTGGCTTTGTTTTGTTTTTGTTATTGATGTTCTTTGTTTTGGTTTTTCAAAACAAGGTTTCTTTGTGTAGTTTTGGAGCCTGTCCTGGAACACAAGGCTGGCCTTGAACTCACAGAGTTGCCTGCTTCTGCCTCCTAAGTGCTGGGATTCAAGGCGTGCCTGGCAGTTTGTTTGCTGGTCCCGACTCACTCTGTAGTGTTGTCTGATTCCTGTCCTCTTGCCTCCACCTCCCAAGTGCTGGGATTACCAGGAACAGACTAGCAAACCTGGGTTTTCTTTGTTTAATGCTGGCAACGGAATCCAGTGCCCTGACCATACAGAATTCATCTTTACTCAAGGGTGGATAGAAGCCAAGAACTGTAACCTAACTTTAAGACTACTATTTTTGTTTTTAATATATGATGACTAGAAGATAATATGGGGATGCAGGCTATCGATGTGAGAATCATTAGGCAGACATAGATAAGACCAGTGGCTCTTAGGATAAGCTTGTTTAAGGCCACTAAGAATGCAAAACAAGTCAGAATTTAAAAACAGGACTTTCGGGCATACCTACTTGTACAGTTAAGTTTATACCTTCAGTCCTCATCATCAGGAGGGATCCCCAATTCTTCATCTGTCCATTTTGAAGGATCTGGATATGAAAAGTGGCCCTGGTGACAACCAGTCAAAAGAAAACAAAGTCAAGAGTCTGTACTAATAATTGCAGCTGATCTTGAAATAGCGTGCACTAATGACTATAGCCAGCACCTGTGATATATGAGCCCTGACTCTCCCTTAACCATTCAGTGGCGCAGCCTGCTTCAATCTACTCATTACACACAGTGGCTTGAAGTTTTTAGAGGTGGCAGCGTAAGCCACTGAGTATTCATGAGGAAGAGTGGGAAGGAGTGGCGGCCACTGATGTGGGAGTGTCATATCAATCTGTTGATTTCATTGGCTGAGCAATAAAGAAACTGCTGGCCCTGATAGGTTAAAAG